CTGGTCACCGGTCTTGCTCTGGCCTCTAGAAATCGCCTCACCTAGTGCTTCCGTGGGTGAGGTGCTGGGCTGCTAACCTCAAGATCAGTGTTTCACCCCCCAGCTGCTGTGTTAAGAAAGAAGAGGCCATGTGCCCCTGTGAAGACCCCCATGCTGGTGGTCTCTCTGCGAGTGGGATTCACTGGAGGGGTTGGGTCCCGGCAAGTAAGCAGCACAAAGGCCAGGGTCTGCACCCTGCCATCTCGCCACGTCTATGGTGACCTTGTCCTGCTTCACCTTGGAAGGTGGGCGCTGCCTTGGTCCCAGAGCCTGGCTCCTTACTGGGAAAACCAGTCTGCTGGTGCCCTTAGGGGATGGTGGGTGTGGCGCCTGGCTGGATGCCACCTGCTATCCGAAGAGGCTGGTCCTCGGACCTGTGGTTCTAGCCTGCCCAGGATGGAGGAAACGCCGAGCCGCGCCTTGCTCATCTTTAAGGAGTGGCGGGGGACCTGGTAGTTGGTAGTGGGTTGCCAGCGGGCTGCCAATCTCAGCATCTTCAGATGTGAAGCCACCCAGCCACTCTGTGCTAAAAAGACGAGGCCGTCGCTCCTGGAGACTCCCACCCCCAGAAGCCCTCTGGGACCGCTCTGACTCTATGGCAGTGGGCTTAGTTCAGTTTGGTTTGGCTCTTCCGTGCCTGCCTCGAAGGAGTGGTACTGTAAGCCATTCTCTTCTACCTCAGTTCTAGAAAGAAAGCTTGGTGTCTTAAAGAGGCCCCTAGGTGCCCCAGGGACACAGTGGTTTAGCACTTGGCTGCTAGCCAAGAGGTCTGTGGTTCGACCCCACCAGCCGCTCTGGGAGAAAGACACGCCTTCTGCTTCCACCAGTGTTTGCAGCGGTGGATGCCCCGCGGGCACTTCTGCTCTGTCCTGAATGGGGATTCAGCTCGAGAGCCACGATCTTCTTTTGGAACTAGGAGCTGTCATGGGGATTGTTTGTAAGGCTGTCCTTCACTGAGCTCAGCTGGGCTCGCCAGGGCCACACTGTTCTCTAGCTGAATGTAAACTCAGAAGGCGTTGCTTGCTTTGTTTTTCAAAGTTTCCCCAAGAACTCGTCATGGCCGTTCCTGTGCACCTTCTACCTCGTTAGAAAAACATCCATCTCTGCTTCCTGTTTTGGACGGAGGTTTCTCATTTTGCTCAGTGGCAGTGAACATGCTGGACAGAGGGTCCCTCCCAGCACCGGGAAAGGCAGATGTGCCAGCTGTGGGCCTTGCAGGAAGCTCCCTGGCGCCTCCCCTGGCACATTGTCTGTCACAGCAGCCGGGTGGGGGAAACAGTTCAATGTGACGTCCCTTAGCACTGCGTGTCCCTCAGTGGCACAGCAAACAGGAGGCCCGGCCGAGCAGGCACTCACCAGGCGCTTCTCTGACCGGCTGCCTTGTTTTCTTCAGAAAAATTGCTATCTCTTCTCCCGGAGTACGTGGTCCCATACACCATCCACCTTCTGGCGCACGACCCCGACTACGTCAAAGTGCAGGACATCGAACAACTCAAGGATGTGAAAGAGTAAGCCCTGCCCCCTGTGCCCGGTCCTGAGCAGCCGAGTCCTGACTGCGGGCGTGGCTGGTCGCCTTAGTGCTAGATGGCCTCACTTTTGTGGGGCCCAGGGGCTCTTAGTTTCTGAGTCCTGATTGGCTCTCTGGTTTGTCTTTATGTCCCTGCTTCGTATCTTTTCTAGCATGTTTTCTCTGAACGGCTTTTGCTTTCAGATGTATTTCTGGAGGCTCCTGGGGCATAGTGGTGACACATTGGGCTGTTAATTGCTCGGTCATCATTTCGAAAAACCGGGCATTCTACTTCCGAAGAGGGGTGCCAGCCTGGGAAACCCTTGGGGGCAGTTCTACCCTGTCCTGGTGGGGGCGTGGAGTCGGTGTCAGCCCGTGAGCGCAAGGAGGGCTTCTGGGCTCGTCTTGATGTTCAGAACAACCGTGTCTGTGTCACAGGACCCTTTCCCTCCATGTTCTTTTTTCATTCTGTTGTAGATGTCTTTGGTTTGTTCTGGAAATACTAATGGCTAAAAATGAAAACAACAGCCATGCGTTTATCAGAAAGATGGTAGAAAACATCAAACAAACGAAGGATGCCCAAGGGCCGGACGACGCGAAAATGAATGAAGTATGTGGTTCTGCACGTGGCTGCGCCGTGGTCCACGCCGGGGGTGGGC